TGTTCATGCAGCCACACCCCGTTCTCCTCCGCGATACCCTCAGACGTTCTATCCCATCGTGCTTGTTATATCTCTGACATTCTGCATGTTACACCTACGTGTCCTTGTCTCCTGTCATCGTCCTAGTTCATGTGCTACGTTTTTCTTACTCCAAGCTCGTCTGCCATTCCTGTGCCCCACCCCAACCTTCTAATCACTCTGAGCCCTGTCTCTGCTGTGTTTAGACTAACCTGAAATATAATTTATTGTCTTACTATGTGTTTGAATGATCCGTATCCACGGATATCTGTGGATCATCATGGCTCACGGGTCTGTCCGCAGGTGGAGCCGTGAGCCACGGTTCCGGCTCCCACGGCTCCGGGTCTTCCGGAGGATCTGACCCTCACGGCTCCGGATCAAGCCTCTAGCAGAGCTTTGATCCGCGGATTCGGATCCGGCTCAACCGTGGATCGATCCTCAAACAGCCTTAGGTCAGGCGGGTTCCCAAAACGCGCCTCGAAAGGGGTCACGGCGCCCTTGAGCGCGGAGGATGGTGTGCGGTTGGTCAGCCAGATGGCGTGGAGGTAGGCGTACGGCCAGATTGACTTCGGGAGCTCCGCGTCGAGAAGCATTGCACGGGTGCGGTCGCCAACGATACGGTGACTGCGTTCAGCCAGGCCATTCTGCTCAGGAGTATACGGCACCGATGTCGTGAAGCGAGTTCCGCGCTCCTTGAGGTAGGCCTGGAGTTCGTTGGAAGTGAACTCTCCACCGCCGTCGGTGTGGAACCACTTGATGCGCGTGCTGTACTGCGTCTCCGCGACACGATCGAGCTCACGGTAGGCTGGGGAGGCGCCGTCCTTGGCCTTGTGAACGGCGCCATGCCGCCACCTTGTCGCGTGGTCGACGAAGAGAGTAGCGTACTTGCTGCCCCCAATGGACGTATGGCCAGGGTCCCAGGTGTCCGCGTCGATGCGGTCCCCGTACGCTTTGACGCGTAGACCGAGCTCGGCTGCACCGCGTCCGTCTGCGGCTTTCGGGACAGGCGCGCGAGTGATCTTCGCAGAGATGCACACGCTGCACTGAGGTTGTGCGCACCAGTCGGTGATGGTGATACCCTCCACGCGCCCCTTGTCAACCATGTCGCGAGCCGCCTTGACGGAGATGTGACCCATGACACGGTGGAGCTCAATGTCGTCGAGCAGCTGACGTGACGGTGCGTCCCCAGAGGCCGCGAGTGCGGCACAGGCGTGGTAGTCGGTACTAGCGACCTGGTATAGTCCGTGATGCTCGGGGATGTGGGCAATGACATCGCTAGTCGCGCGATGGGTGAGGGAGAGTACACCGTTTGCGATGGTGGAGCTGTAGCCCTTGCTGTCCGCCTTCCGGAGGGAGACCAGCGTAAACGCTGCTGATGGCACATGGAGGACGTCGCTGAGGGTGAGTGAGTGCGTACCACCCCTTCCGTTCGGCACTTCGACACGCATTGTGCCTTCGCCTACTGCACGCGCTTCGGCGCCGTTTGCGGTGGTGACGCTGTGAGCTCGGTCGAGGGGCTTGTACTCCGTAAAGTGTTCGCGGTTCGGGGAGATGTGGCGCGTGGCCCCACTGTCGTAGACGTCGACGAAGCGGGGGGAATGGAAAGAGGGGACAGCGACGTCGTCGGGGTCCATTGCGCGCTCCTCGAGACCAGCGACGGTGGCCAGTACGTGCTCCTTGCTCGACTCGGATGAGGCCGTGTTCGCTGACGCGGTACCTCCTCCAGCTGACGATCCACCCTGTCTGCCCTGTCCCTTCGGGCCTTGGCCTTCTGCTCCGCCGCCCTTGCGCCAGCAGTTCGCCTTCGTGTGTTTGTAGCGCCCACAGTTGGTGCAGCGCACGGTTTGATTTGCGTATAGCGCGTTGTCCGTAGTGCTGTTCGCGGTGATGGCACGTCGCTCGTATTCGTCATGCAAGGTGTGGACGATGGTGTCGACGTCGGGGGTTCTGCCGACCGCGTTGGCAACGTCGAGCTGCACTTGAATACGCTGCTGGTAGGACTCCGGGATGCTTGCTATGACCATCGCGATGTAGTCTGTGTCGGGGATGATGGTCCCGACTGCTGCAAGGTTGAGGCGTTCGCGCGCGAGGCTTGTAAGGTGCTCGCGCACATCTCCACCATCCACACAGCGCATTCGGAGCATGCGCGCGCGAATAGCGTTGGCGTACATGGCGGATTTCTCGGCACAAGCCTTGATGACGGCGTTCCACATGAGGGAGATAGGGCGGAGGGCATTGACCGCAACGAAGAGATCTTCGGGGAGGGTTCCGTAGAGGATCGTGCGTACCTCCGCCTGCTTGCGGTCCCATTCCTCGTATTTCTCATACGCCTTCTCGACTAGCTCCAGGTACTGCGCATCCGTCCTGGTGGTGTACTGGTCCGAGACGGGCGTCGGGAGACTGGAATCGGCCGCAGCTGCGGCAGTTTCGGCGTCGATGACCTTCTGGGTCTTGTGGGGGATGGCACGGGTGTACGGGGGAGGGAGGGGAGGCTGTGGTTGGCCGTCAATGTGACGAGAAAGCCCCTTTGCGGCGATTGCTGTAAGGAAGTGCTCCTTGAACGGCACCCAGTTCGATTTGTCGGCAAGTAGCTTGGGGATGCTGTACTTGCCGCTGGACGTGGAAGTCGGAACATCGAACGACATGTTGTTCGTGGTATCAGGGCTCATAACCTGTTAAGGTCGGGGCCGAGCGGGAGAGCAGAGGGGAACGATGTGGTGCGAGGCGAGAGCGAGCGGAGCGAGCAGCAGTGAATCGCTAGGAGCACCTGTTGCCATAGCCCATCGGCAGCTACAGATGCACCTATTGATCCGTGATGCGCGCCCGTGTAGACGCGCCTCGCCGGGCGTGGCGCGCATCAACGCGTGGCTGTGATGCACGCCACGCGTCCCTCCCCTTCGCTGTCCTTGCTCTCCTCCTCCGCCTCCTCCACTGCACCCTCACTGCTTCCATCCTCCCGCTCAGCCCAGGCAGACGATAGCGACCACACGGTCGACTGTCGTCTGCTATTGGACTCCAGTGTCACCAGGTGACACTGACCTTCCCTCCTCTGACCTCCCTCGACCTCGACCTCAATCCCGCCCTTCACCCACCTTGCCAACCACCCTCACAACGTCAAGAGTGCACATGGAGATTGGAATATAGGGCCGCGGCGATGTGCCGCGGCCCCTGCTTTGGTGAGTCCTCCGCTATGCCCTCTCGCATTCCCAACGCCCACCCGCCGCTCCTACAACAGGCCGAGGACGTCCGCCTGGACGTCCTCCCCCTCCTCAGCCTTCCGAGTCGCCCTCCCCCGCGCGGCCCTCCTCCTTCGTGCGGCCCTCCTCCTCCGTGCTGCTCTGCGTGGCGCTCCTCCTCGCCCTCCTCCGCCCGCGCCTGCCGCCTCCTTCGAGCCTCCTGCCCGCCCACCCTCGTCACCCTCCTCTGTGCTGCTCACCTCCGCATCGCCCACCTCCGCGCCGCCTCGTCCGCCCTCGTCACCCGCCTCGTCTACCTCACCCCTCCGTCTTACCCTCCTCCGCCTGCTCCGCATCGCCCTCCTCCACGCGTCCCGGCCCTCCGCGTTGGCGCCGCCCGCGCCGCCCATCTGCGCCCTCGCAGCCCTCCACCTCTGCGTCCTCCGTCTCCGCGTCGCCCACCTTCGCGTCGCCCGCCTTTGCGTCGCCCTCCTCCTCTGCGTCGCCCGTCGCCACGTCGCCCTCTTCCGCGCCCACGTCCTCGCCCTTCTCCTCCACGCCTACCTCCTCCGCGCCCGCCTCGCCCGCCTTTGCCTTGCCGCGTCGCCCTACTCCGCGCCTGTCTCCCCTTCGCCCGCCTCCTCCACACCCGCCTCGCCACGTCGCCTGCGCCCGCGTCTCTCATCCGCCCGCATCGCCCACCCGCGTCGCCCACCCACACCCGCCTCCGCCTCCGCGTTGTCGCGGGGTGTGGTATTATTTGCTTGTTCACTTGTGTAGTAGTTTACTGATAAATATATTTTGAACACTAATTATATACAAAGTGTGATGTGAAACAAAGAGGGAGGTGAGCTCACTGTCGGAGACGGTGAGCTCAGGTGGCAGGGCCCGAGGCGCCGGTGTCCGGACGTCTCGGGGCAGTGTCACGCCTGTGTGGCCGGCGGCTGCGTGAGCACGCTCCGGGCCGGCCGGATCAGCAGGTGCATCTGCACCTGCCGATAGGCCATGGCAACAGATGCACCTGGTGATTCACCACTGTAGGCGGAGCGAGCGGGTACCTAATGAACGCGGTAGCGTTAATCTCACAAGTTCGGGACGAGAACGAGTTAATCAATAGTGAGCTAACCTAATGAACGCGGTAGCGTTAATCTACGCATACTCGTCAGTTACTGAACGGGGCTAGACGTGGTATGTAGGGGAGCTCACCTCACAAGTTCGGGACGAGAACGAGTGAGGGACTCCCCGCGACGTGCGTAGCTATTAAGGAGCGGATGGAGCGGAAACGGGACGACGAGATCGGTAGTAGAGGCGATCGAGTCGTCAAGGATGAGAATGGAGCGTACAGCAAGATAGCGCCGCGGCCCGTGTGGCCGCGGACGCGCGAAACGTGAGCTTTGAATTTTATAGTAACGAGACAGAGTCCATGGTGTAACACATATACTAACAGTACTCACCGTCAAACCCTGCATCTCTCTTGCGTCGTAGTCGGGTTGTCCGGCCTGGACGTGTTCCGAAAGGGGATAGGCTCGATTGCCAGCGCTGCCTCCAGCCCGGAGTTCGGGGATCGCCAGCCGTGACACCCGCGGGGCACACACGCAGCGCTGGCGTGACCATCTTGATTCTTCAAGTCCTGCGCGCACCGGGCAGCCCAACGTGTGTCGCATGCAGGCGTCTGTAACTTCTGTCGCTCCTGCGGAACTTGAAGCTTCACTAGTCGACTTCCCTTGGTTGTCAGGCTTTACCCCGCCGAGAGCGAGAAGTTAAACTTGCAAAATCAGACACGTCCGCATTTACGAACACGTGCACACAGGCGGTGCACAGGTGGCAGTGCGCAGGGTACGGCTCGCCAGTGGCCGTCGTCTGTCTCTTCCGTCCTACCCGACGATTCATGCCTTCCACCTAAGTCGAGAAGGCTGGCCGTCATCTGTCTCCGCCGTCCTACCCGATCGTTCATGCCCCTTAGTACACCTACGCTCCCGATAGGCTATGACTCCGATCGGACGTGGGCTCACTGCTCTATACATATCGCGGTAAGCCCAGCCACGCCTGAGGGACTCCGGGAGACCTTGTCTCCGAACCTTCGATTGCCGCGTTTGTTGATGTCGATGGATCGGTCACAATGACGCCAAGGTATATGAACAGCAGCTCCAGTGTCCCTCGTCTAAGGTCTTCCCCCACCCTACTTTTTCTTCCCTAATCATGCTGACTTTCAATGTTCTACTCTCCGTTTTTATTTACGTGAACACCGTCCATGCTGCTTCCTCGGGCTTCCGTATCTCCACTTCTGCCGCAGGACATGTCGCCACCTCCGCCACCTCCATGGGCGATGTAGTCTCCACCAACGATAACGACCAGGTGAGCGTCATCAAGCCGTGTTACTGTTTTCGCACCTTCTGATCTTTTATCCTTGCTCCAGTACACCGTCAACATTACTCTTGGCGGTGAAGGTGAGACACAAGATGGTCATCTCCGCTCCGTTTATATCATCATCCTTACGCACGTCCTTAGCCTTCGTTGTCCAACTCGATACCGGATCAAGCGACCTCTGGTTGAACATCACCGGGCGCACCCTGCAGTTCACCAATACAACCGATCTCAACATCACCGAGGGTTATGGGAAGGGCAGCGTATCGGGCTGGCTTTCGTTTGCCGATATGACTATCGGCGACTTCTCCGTTCCCAACCAAGGTGAGCGCATAGGCTCTTCGTCAACTCTGCGCTGCTATCCTCACTACGACCTCTCAGCTTTCGTCAATGTCGTCGATATCAAGGACATGCCTATGACCAGTTTCGACGGCATCCTTGGCATGGCTTTCGACGCTTCAGTCATTTACTCTGTCGTGCAGGAAAACTGGGGCACGGAAGCGGCCAACGCTCTCGCGCGCTCGCCGATTACCAACCTCTTTGCGCTAGACCCTACGACCCCCAACTTCTTCGACGTGCAGCTCGCGCGGGCAATGTCCCCCGATTCTAACAACGTTGCCGAAGGTGTATTCCTGATCTCCGAACACGACGATGCCTTCCAGAACATCACGTCAGCTCCGATGCTCCGAAGCCTAACTTCTCAGCACTGGAGTCTTGCCATGGACAGCATGACGGCCAATGGCACTCCGTTCGCTTTCAACGCCTCGCGAGTGCCTGGAGTCCCCACAGGGAAGGTCGCTGCAGTGCTCGACACTGGCTTCTCCCTCCCGCAAATACCGATTGCTGCTGTGAACGCGATCTACGAGTCTGTCCCGGGCGCGGTTTACTCCGAACCCTATTGGGTAGTGCCTTGTGACGCGGCGCCGACCGTGGTGTTCACTTTTGGGTGTGCCGTCCTCTCCAGGCTGTACGTTGTGAATTAGGGGCTGACGACGCTTCGCTAGCGGCCAAGACATCCCGGTGCACCCGCTCGACCTAACGTTCACCCAGGTCCTTACCCTCCCCTCTGGAAACACCACGGGATGCTTAGGCTCATTCCAAGCACTGACCCTCGACCCCACTGAGTTCGTTGGCTTCGACCTCCTCCTAGGGGACGCTTTCCTCCGCAACGTATACGCCTCGTACGTCAATCCCTGGGCGTCACACCACCTGCCCATCGCCTGACCGTCCCTTCTTCGCCTCCCTCCACAGGTTCAACTACGGCGACTACCAACCGAACACGCCCTTCGACGGCCAGGGCCCCTTCGTCCAGCTCCTCCCCACCACCGATGCCTCCACGATGCAAGCCGAGTTCGTCGCGAACCGCACCGCCGCCCTCGCGCTGCTCCCGCCCACCCTCGACCCCGCGACGCTCGTCAAGCTCGCCGACTCGTCCGACACCCCTGCCTCCTCATCCGCCTCCTCCCCCGACGCCTCCTCCGCCTCCGTCGCCGGCGCCCTCGACGAGTCCACCTCGTCCTCGTCAGGGAGCACCGACAGCTGGGGCAAGAAATACGGCACGCCCGCGCTCGCGCTCCTCGGCGCGAACCTGGCCGTCGGCGTCGTCCTCCTCGGCCTCACAATCACGATGTGCATGCGCTCGCACAGCCAGAGCGCGCGGGACCGGTACGCGCCCGTCGGCGCCCGTCCGTTCAAGATGCAGCAGGGTGACGAGGAGGAGCGGACGCAGCTGCGGTACAACGACTGAGTGGGGGTCGGGTGGTGTGGTTCGGAGGGTTGCAGCGGATACCTTACGACTCGGACATTATTTATATAGTCACTTTCTGTTCTTCCCTCATGCGAACGCCGCACACGCTCGTGCGTGATCTGCGATGCCAGCGGCGTAATCATCCTGTTCAAGTTCGATAGCCACCGCGATTGGCCACCCGTTCTGCCCAAAGGTCCGTCATGGCGCTGAATTCTTGTGCCGTGAGGCGCAAAGAGAGAGCTCCACGCTCACGAAACTCGTGCTGGGGATATTGATCGTACCTCTAAGACACTTTTTGCTGTCGAAGATCTGGCACGCTTCGCAACGCATGTGGCCAAACGCAAACCGATCCATTATGATGATCCAAGCACCGACCACATCAACATCCCCCGTGGCGCACGCGCTCGCGGACACGGT